GCCATGGAATATCAAATTTGTATTCAAAGAAGTATAGCCAGGATGCTCCTTAGAAGCCAAGATGGCAAGACTTTGTCTCTCAGACTTCAGACATGTTATGTGGTGAAGGACACCATGCTTGGTAAAGTGAAATAGAGGAAGACAGTCAAGGCGATGGACCTATCCAGCGGTAGCAGCAATGAACTCAAAAGTGACAATTGTAAGAATAGTGCAGAACCAGGCAAGGTTTTATTCTGCTGTGCAGAGGAATGCTATGAGTCAGAACCAACTCAAGGCACCTAACAATAATAGCAATGTATTTTCTTTGGAGTTCTCGTGTGGCACTTTAAGATAAGCACTAGACTGATAACTATAAGGTCAGTGGTTCAGACCCACCAACTCTTTCTGGGAAACCCTGTATATGTTTGCTATGAGTTAGAACAGACTACAGCCCTTAGCAACAACATTTCTTTAGTATCTTTTCAACCATTTTGAGGGATTCTTTATTAACTAACTTGTCGGCTTTCTTATTTTTGAGTTGACATAGTATTTTCCTAGGTAATTTCATATGTATTTGAGTCTATTTCTGGGTTCTCTGTTCCAGTTCATTAATCTACTGGTCTATTCCTGTATCATAACCAGATCGTCTTTATTACTGTCACAATAATAAAATACTCATGTATTTCATTCTTAGAAGACAAGTCTTCCTTTATTCCTTTTTCAAAATATCCTGAGTACTTTTCAAATATTTATTTTCCAGATTAACTTTAGCATAATTTTGTCAAGTTCCCCTCAAATCCCATTGGGACATTAACTTGAAATTTCATTGAATTAAGTAAAGTAGTTTAGGAAAAAAATCTTTCTAAGACTGTCTTCCAATTCAAGAAAAGACAGAACTTTCCTTCTATTAAAATGTTTACTTGTGCTAATAGGTTCGTTTGTTGTTGTTGTTTTTTTCTTCAGGTGTTTGTAGTTGGTCTGTTTTCATAGTCAGCACACACAGAATCGGGTAGAAAAACAGAACTGAAAACAGGACACTGACTGGCAGTGCGCTGCTTCAGTCCAACATTGGTCTGGCTGGAGGCTGGGTTGTGTCAGTGATGTGTTTTACATCTGTCCTAGTTTAGCTATTTGTAAAACTTGCAGCACTAAATTTAAGGATTAGAGAAGCAAATGGCCCCAGTTTCGGCTAAGACTCCATCTCTTCACTCAGCCCATAACTCTTTGCAGTGAATGAAAACTCCTTCAGTTCATTGATTACCCCAGGGAGAACAGACTTCTTCTGAAGGTGGTTCAGAGGAATCTCAGTTGCTACTGTGGATGGCAGCCACTTGTAGATGGTTTCACATTGTAGCAGGTTAAAAATGTCACTTTCTTGGTTTTCAGGATAAATAGAATCCCATGTGGACACTTTTCCCCTCTCCCCATTTTGAAGAGAGCCATTTACCCTGACCTACAAAAGAATTCTTGAGAACAGGAATGCCAGGCACCAGCCAGCCTGCAATATCCACTCGGGGTTCCTCCTCCTAACATTCCCAAGTCCAACCTTTGCTTCGTTTTTAAGAGACTAATTATGTGGTGCTGTGAGTTAATGTGTCAGACTGCAAAGCCTTTTGAACGGCAAGGTTGGCGGTTCAAGTTCACCAGCTGTTTCTCGGAAACCCTATACCAGGTTTCTATGGATCAGAAGTGACTCGACGGCACTTCAAACAACACAATTATAAAGAAAGACAATGACTGACAAATCCAACTTCAACTCTCATACCAAATTCTCCAGAATCTGCATGCTATCAGCTTCTTCAAAGATCGGTCTGGAGAAGTTTTGGTTTGGGGTGCTTTCTCATAGGACAGAATAAAAGCAAGTGTTTTACTGATGATCTAGGCTCTGCTTCCTTAAAAGAGACTCAAAATTGCAATGGCTTCAACAAGAGAAAAATTTAGTTCTCTTCTATGTCTACGGGCACGTTGGCATGATAGGTCAACTCTGTGGAGTTTAAGGAGTCCAGTCCTTCTGCCCAACTGCTCTGCTGCCCATCAGTGCTTCCCTTGGTTTTGGGCACCTTTATATTTGCTATCCTTTTGGATTTTTTTTTTTTTCCCCGTATAAAAAAAGGGAACCCAATTATCAAGGATAGAGATGAGGGTAAGACAGGACACAACCCTTGGTGTATGGAAATAGGGGACAGGAGAAGAATATGCCTCAAAAAGAGGGGTGGGAGAGGGAGATCTTTAAGGCAGTAAAATATTCTCTGTAAAAAGTTGGGGAGGGGTATCCAAGGCCTTGGAGATGAAGGCAGAGGCTAAAGTAGAGATTGCCTGATTAGTGGGCAGGGGGTTTCTCCACTTAACTGTCCAAAGGAAAGGAAAGGACAGCTTCTCTTCCTCCTCCGGGTCTTGTTTCAGCTACTCCACTGCTCACTCCGGATTTCCATCTCCTTTTTGTCGATAAGAGTGCTGCAGGGCCCGGAAGGCAAAAATTCGCTTGTGTGGGTTAAAAGTCAGCATTTCCAGCAGCAGCTGTGCTCCAGATTCCTCCAGCTCAGGCACCACGGACTGCTCTGGGCGGGGCCCTCTGGGGGAAAAAGCTCCTCATGGTAGGGACACATTTCGGGGCCAGTCATCCTCTGGGGGCAGCCCGATCAGGTCAAAAATTTTGCCTAACTGGTCAGCTTCAGAATTTCCACAGAAGAGTGGCTTTCGACGACGAAACATCTCTGCAAAAATGCAACCAACGCTCTACATGTCCACAGGGGTTGCATATGTAGATTGCGGAAGAACTTCAGGAGCTCGGTACCAGAGTGTAACAACCTTGATAGTCTCCACTGGCAAACCTGGTAGGGGTGCTTTGTCTAGATAGGTCCGTAGGTCTTGGTCCACATGTTCAAACACCTGGGTCACTTTGGTTTCCCGGTCAGTTCGGGCTGTGGCACAGACGTCCATCAGTCGGACAACATTGGGATGCTCAAAAGCCTCCAGCCGCCTCAGTAAGGCCACTTCACGAACTGTGCTGATAGGAAAGCCCCCTCCAGTGCCTTCTCCACTAGGGACTCTCACACTCTTGAGGGCTACGAAGTGGCCACTGTGGGGATCGCGAGCCTTATACACCGTCCCATAGGCACCTATGCCAATCTCAGCTAGTGGCTCATATCGAGGAGTGGCCATTCTTAGGTCAGGGAAGACCCTCACCCCACACCAGGAGCTAATGAGGCAGCCCGTTATCGAAGTTCTGGAGTCGTGTCCTGAGGTGCCATACACGCGGGCTCGGTCCCAAGCAGCTGGACACGACGAGCCTGGCCATAGACCCCTTTTGGAGTTTTTGCTCTGTTGATGTATAACAATTTACCCGTAAAACTTTGCCATCTAAAATGACAAACATTTATTGCTTAGTAGCTTTTTATGGGTCAGGAAACTGGGCATGATTTAGCTAGGTACCTTTGACTCCAGGTCTCGCTTGAAGCTGCAGTCAGCTGACAGCCAAGACTGTGAACTGTGCTCCCATCTAAAGTTTTGATTGGAATGGATCTCCTTCCAAGCTTACTCACATAGTTTTTGGCAGGCTTGGTTCCATACAGACTGTTGCATTGAGCACCTCAGGCCCTTTCTGGCTGTTGGCCAGAAGCATTCCTCAGTTCCCTGCCACACAGCCTTCTCTACAGGGCAACTCATAACATTGCAGCTGGCTCCCCGCAGAGCAAGAGAGAGTCCCCATGTTGGAAAACTTAGGGCAATGGGTCTCGTGGGACAATCTAGCCAATTGGCACAATATAGTTTTTAAAGTTTATGTTCTACCTCCCAGTATGGTGAATAATGTCTAAGGTCTTAAAAAACTTATTTGTGATCATCCAAAATACAACTATTGGTTTTTATTCATCTGGAACAAAAGAGAAAGAAGAAACCCTAAGAATCAGGGAAGGAATTGCATTATAGGATAAATCATCTACATGAACCACGACCTCCTCTACCTTAAGATCAAAATAACTAGATAGTGCCCAGATAGTGCTAGATAGGAGCTGTGGTGGCGTAGTGGTTACGAATCGGGCTGTGACCCACAAGGTCATGGGTTCGAAACTACCAGTTGTTCCGTGGGAGAGAGATGAGGCTTTCTGCTCCCGTAAAGATTTACAGCCTCAGAAACCCTGTACAGGGTCGCTATGAGTCGGAACCAACTCCACGGCACTTAACAGCAATAACAGTGCCCAGCTACCACTATTGAACTTTCTGATCAGGAATACAATAGGTAAATTCTAATTAAAAGGGAGAAAGCGATGGAAGAGAACTTTAATTTGTTAAAGAATCCAGACTTAGTAGACCTACTTAGGCTGGAGGAGTTCCTGAAACTATGTCCCCAAGTTGCTCTTCAAACCTTGAATTGAAACTTTCACCTACAGTTGCCTTTAAACTAACAAGTTGTTGTTGTTAAATACTTTCAAGTCAATTCTGACTCACAGTGATCCTGCATAGGGTTTCTGAGGAGCAGCTGGTGAATTTTTACCACCGACCTTGTAGTTCAAACGGACCTTGCAGTCCAGTGCATTGTCCCACAGCGTCACACCAGGACTCCAATGAACAGGTTTGCCCTCCAAAGTTATCTTTATAAGACCAAAGGGCCACTGGCTATTTTAAAGCACAGATGAGAGGTTTAGGAGCAGGGAACTAAATTAAAGGGAAGTGAAATCTCTAGAGGAGAAATAAGAAGAATGTTAAGACACTGTGAGGACTGTAACCAACGTCCCTGGTCACTAAATCTAGAAACTGTGGAATGGGAGTGGGTCTTGCTGTGTATACTTTCACCAAAATCAGTCAATAAAAAGAATTGCTAAGCAACATTGGCGTTGCTGTTAAAGTGTCATTGAGTCTGTTCCAGCTCATTGCAACCCTGTATAGGGTTTCCAAGGAGCAGCTGATGGCTCTGAACCACCAACCTTGCAGTTATCAGCCCAGTGCTTACCTGACAATGTCACACCAGGACTTCAAAAAACATTATATCTATGATTTTTTTTAAAAAAATATTTTTGTGGTAAAATATACATAACAAAATATGCTACTGTAACAATTTTAAATTATGCATTCGACGTATAGTACAATCTTCATGACTATTTGTGAAGTTTTCCATTATTCTTAGCAGAAATTTAACACCCTTTAAGCAATAACTCCTAATCCTCCCCTTCCTTCTGCATTAGTGGCCACAGATAAACTTGTATCAGTATACATTTACGTAGTCTCAACACTTCATATAAGTAGGATCCTAAAATATGTGTCCTTTCGGACACAACATATGTTTTCAAGGTTCATCTATGTTATAGCATGTCCCAGCTCTTCATTTCTTTCCATGAATAAGTAATATTCAATTGTACTGTCATGAGTGGTTTCAAGTTAGCCCTGACATAGCAGAAGCAGTCCTAGAGAGAGGGGGGACAACTTGGACAACTCAAGACCCCAAACCAGACCCCATTCAGTGTGTCACACTGTGCTAGGTGCTAGCGGATTCCCAGTGTCACCCCGATTTGGACCACAGACAATTCACTCGTTGACAGCCAAGACAATTTAGCTCTGAATGAACTTTGTGAACTTGGAACTCATTCCAACAGCCGAAAGAAAAAGGATTATTGATAAACGATTTTCTTTACCCATCAACATAGAGTACCCACTTCTTAATTACTTGTTGCATTGTTGTTGTTAAGTGCCGTCGAGTCGGTTCCGACCCATAGCGACCCTGTACAGGGTTTCCGAGGCTGTAAATCTTTACGGGAGTAGAAAGCCTCATCTTTTTCCCGCAGAGCGGCTGGTAGCTTCGAACCGCAAAATGTTGCACAATCAAAATGCATTCCACATGAGACATCCTAGTAGTGTGAGCCAACATAAATATGGAATTTCCGTCTTTTCTACCACAGTTGTTGGTAGATGGGACCCATTTATTTTCTCTAATAATAGTTCACTCATGATTTCTAGTCTCCAACCATGGTATCTTTCTTGTAACATCATGTGACTTTGGGCGGGCTGCCTTTCCTATCCCACCTCAGTGCATGAGAATTAATGTGGTAATTGGGTTCCTTTAGTCCGTCTCTTCCAGGCTGCCTCAGAGTGCTCTGTAGCGAATGAAATCACACAATAGGAAATCAGTGCTGCATCACTCTTATTCCAAGCAGGACCAACGGACACCCTCTGTGCACTTTGGTAGCTTCTCCATAGACGAATCTCAAAATCTCCACGGCTTCACACAAATTCATTTCTGTGAGAAATGTTGTCCTGACAAACGCTAAAGTAATACAATCTGTACTCATTTTAGTGAGAGTGAGGTTTTCTTTATTCAATTTTGCAAAATCAGGCGCCCAACCCATTAGACACAGGTAGATGCACCACGTGGCCCGCCACAAATGGTTTTTATTCTTGTCTCCAAAAAGCCCCTCCAGTTTTTCGTATACAATTCTATGGCATGTCCCATTTTCCCTCTCCCCAGAGAAGCCAAAATGACTTTCCCATGGTATTAGTGACTATATTCTTATGTAGATTTCCTAGTCCTAGACCAGCCTGCTTACATATCCCTGGATGTAAATCAACAATCTGTCTGCCTGGTCTAGCAATCTCATGAATTTCTGAAGATGGACCATACCCGCAAGAGTTATTTCTCAAAATTTCTCGTTTACTAAAAGTCCCAAGCCATGGTATTTTCAATAACTTCATATGCACATGAAAATTGGACAGTGAATAAGGAAGACATAGAAGAATTGATGCATTTGAGTTATGGGGTTGGAGGAGAATATTGAAAGTGCCGTGGGCTGCCAAAAGAACCAATAGATCTGTTTTGGAAGAAGTGCAGCCAGAGTGCTCCTTGGAGGCCAGGATGGCTAAGCTTCGTCTCTCCTACTTTGGACATGTAGTCCGGAGGAAACAATCGTTGGAGAAGGATGTCATGCTGGGTAGGGTTGAGGGTCGGAGAAAAAGAGGAAGACCTCCAACGAGATGGATCGGCCAGGTGGCATCATTGATGGACTCGGGGGTGGCAGCGGTGGTGAGGTTGGCCCAGGATCGAGCATTGTTTCGTTCTGCTGTGCATGGGGTCGCTATGAGTCGGTTCCGACTCGATGGCACCTGACAACAACAACAACAAAGAGTCATCAACAATAGGCTCAGAGTTACAGTCTTGTGGGTTTATTTTATTTTTTTAAAATTCTTTATCTAGGATGGTTCGTACCTACAACCGTCTTGTGTGTCACGTGTCTTAATCTCAGTTGTGGTGTGACATTGTTGGTTCTCTGTCTGAAGGGTTCCCATTAGCATTTCTTGTAAAGCTGGTTTGGTTTTTGAAAAGCCCCTTAGTTTCTGTTTATTTGGTTATGGTACTTGAGGGGCAATATTGCTGAGTATATAATTCTCAGTTGGCATGTTGTTTCTCTCAGTGCCTTTTTGCCTGTATGGTTTCTGCCAAGAAATCAGAGCTACGTGTTATTGATTCACATTTGTAGGTAATATTTCATTTTTCTAAATTGTTTCCCATACTCCTTTTATGTTTCTTTTTGGCAACTTTAATTAGATGTGTTATGGTGGTTTTTCTTTGGTGCTTTTCCTATCTGGAGTTCAGTGAGCCTCTTGTGTTGCTTGCTATCAGGGACATTTTTTCCTAACAAATCTTTGTCAGTTTTCTGTCTGTGTTTTTGTTTGTTTGTTTGTTTTCGGATGGGGGAGCAGGGAAGTCTCTTTCTATTCTGAAATTCAGGTAAATTACTCCTCTTGATGATGCCTTATATATTACTTTGGCTTACATTATTTTTCTTCATTCTTTCTTTTTTTGATTGTTCCTCTCTCAGATAGGTATTATTTGTCTTAATTTAATTGATTTTGTCTTCTGCTGATTTAATTATCCTCCTTTGTCCTTCCAATGTATGATCTAGTTCTGAAATTTTAGTATTACTATTCTGGGCTTCAATTGTTCTTTGGGCCTGGTTTCTAATTTCCTATTTATTTTTTCAATTTGTTCTTGTGTTGTTTTCCTGAATTTTAATAAGTTTTGTCTGTATTTTCCTGAACTCTTTTAAAGTTTACTTAGCCTCTTGGAGTGTACTAAATAGAATTTTTTAAAAATTCCTTATCAAGTAATTCAATTACCATGGGTTCTGGTGACTTGTTTGAGCCACCTTGTTCTACTTCTTTGTGAGTTGAAGCTG